ATATTGGTATGCGGAAAAATGAACCTCAACCCTTACCTCACATTATATACAAAAATTAACTCAAAATGTGAACGCTAAAACTATAAAACTCCTTAAGAAAATCTAGAAAAAAAATGTTTGCTATGTTGGAGTTTGCAAAGTTTTCTTAGGACATAAAATGAATAAACCAACAAAAGAAAAAATTGATGAACTGGACTTCACCAAAGTTGAAAACTTCTGCTGTTTGACAGACACCATAAAAAATATAATAAGGTCAACCACAGACTGGGAGAAAGTATCACTCTACATATACCTGACAAAGGACTTGTATCTAGAATATACAGAATATTTTATAGATACTTAAATAATAAGAAAACAAGCATCTAGTTTAAGAATGGGCAAAATATTGAAAAAGATACTTGCAAAAAGAAGATATATACATAGACATGAAAAGATGCCCAACATCATTAGTCATCAGGGAAATGTAAATTAAAACCACAACGTGATTCCACAGCACACCCACCAGAAGACCTAAAATGGAAACTACCAGGTTTACACAAGGCTGGGGAATAACAGGAGCTATCACACAGTGCTGGTGGGAATGCGTAACTGTCTAACCACTTTGGGGAACATTTGGAGGGTTTCTTATAAAGGTAAATATACATGAAAATGTGCGTCCACACAAAGACTGGTCTATGAATGTTCATGGCAGCTCTACGCATAATAGTTCCTTCTATTATTTTTTTGGCTTTATTGCACTGGTTTGGATCCCAAGTCAAATGGTGAACAGATGCGGTACTGGCGCACCTTCTTGTGTAACTCTCCATCTCAGAGGACAAGGTCTCAATATTTCACCATTAAATGTGAGCGTATTATGATATTTATTTATTTGTATATTTTTATTTTTATTTTTTTGAGGCAGAGTCTCACTCTGTCACCCAGGCTGGAGTGCAGTGGCGTGATCTAGGTTCACTGCAACCTCTGCCTCCTGGGTTCAAGCAATTCTCCTGCCTCAACCTCCCAAGTAGCTGGGACTACAGGTGTGCACCACCATGCCTGGCTAATTTTTATATATTTAGTAGAGATGGGGTTTCACTATGTTGGCCAGGCTGGAACTCCAGACCTCAGGTAATCCACCTGCTTCAGCCTCCCAAAGTGCTGGAATTACAGGTGTGAGCCACTGCACTCCACTTGATTTTAAAATAATATTCTTTTGGGGCTGGGCGCAGTGGCTCACACCTGTAATCCCAGCACTTTGGGAGGCCGAGGCGGGTGAATCATGAGGTCAGGAGATCGAGACCATCCTGGCTAACATGGTGAAACCCTGTCTCTACTAAAAATACAAAAAAATTAGCCAGGCGTGGTGGCAGGCACCTGTAGTCCCAGCTACTCGGGAGGCTGAGGTAGGAGAACGGCATGAACCCAGGAGGCAGAACTTGCAGTGAGCCGAGATTGTGCCACTGCACTCCAGCCAGGGCAACAGAGTGAGACTGTCTCAAAAAAATAAAATAAAATAAATAATAATAAGATTCTTTCTACTGTATGTATTTATGTGGTACAATGGGATATTTTGTTATATTCATAATAGTGAAATGAGCACTGTCATCAAGCAAATTAACATATCTATCATCTTGCATTGTTACTTTTTTTACTTTTTTTTTTTCATTGTAACCGAAACTAAAATCTCCTCTGGGCAAATTTTCAGTATTCAATAAGATATTATACCTCTGGCTGTCAGCTGCACCTTCTGTCTCTGGACTTCTTCATCCTGTACATCTGCAACTTTGCACCCTTTGACCCACACCTCTCCATTTCCTGCCCCCACGCCCTCCCCTGAGAACCCCCACTTTATTCTGTATGTAGTCAAATTTTTTTTTTTTTTTCTTTTTTAAGATTCCACATATAAGTGAGATCATGCAGTATTTGTCTTTCTCTGTCTGGCTGGCTTATTTCACTTAGCATAGTGTCCTCACAGTTCATTATCCTTTTTCTTTGAGGAATTCAAAAGATGAAATAATTCCACAATCAAATGATTTATCTTGCATTTGAAAGTCTGCAAATAGAGAAAGCTTGTGACCCAGAGGGAAAAAGCAGATTTGGGTGTGAAATATAGTCTCTACTCAAGTATATTTTTCTCTTCTAAATAATAAACCCTGTTTTGAGCAATTGTGTTATGTTTATAACATACTAAAATGAAAAATGCTTCTACGCATTTCTCTTAAAAAAATCTTATTTGTGTAAGCCAGGAGATGCCCTGTCTAGCTTAATCCTTCCTTCATAACTTGAAAAGTTCTCTTCCAAGAACATCAGGGAAGAGTCTACCAGTTTCCTCCCTCACTTAACTGAAAAGAACGTGCCTGTAACTCAAGCTGTTTGCAAATCGTTACCAAAGCTTCGCAGGGCTCCCCGGAGACATCAGCATAGGATAAGGCGTTCATGCCCTGATATCAAGTCTGTTCAGGGCACTGGCTGCGTAACTATCACACGCTGGGCCCCAGATAAGCTTATTTGTTTGTTTCCTCAAAATTTTAGTTTGAGCTCAATGGAATTGATTTGCAGGTAAACTTTCTGAGAGGATATTTTATAGCAAGGAAGACCAGCCACCCCCGTGAGGCCTCTCCCTCCTGCCCCCTGGGGAGCTGGCTTGACCTTGGACCGACATCTGACGCACGTGTTAACACGCCCTCATAGTTGGTTATTGCATGTCCATTTGGTGTTATGGGTCCCCCCAGGGTTTATGATCAGCTCATCCACGCATACAGATCCCCTGTCACACACAGATGGCTGTGCTGGGCACGGCAGGGTCTCAGGAGTGAAAGTGCATTCCAGACTCTGTCCCCCAAGAGCTGTACTCCAGCGGGGAGCATCTCCTGTAACACACAGGTAAAAGCAAGGAAAGAATGACATGTTACATTTCCTGTCCTTGCCTTCGAGGGCAAACATTCGTTGAGGGACCGGAGAGAGTAGTCAGAAAAGAGTTCGAGAAACGTGTGAGCTTGAAGGAGACCGCAGATCACAGCCACAAGGCACTGACATGTATGTGGGCAGCTCCTACTGGGAGGGAGAAAGGAAGACTGATTTAATCAAGGACAGCCTGGACGCTTTTGCCATCAGCACATCCCGCCCATTCTGCCTTCGAAATGAACCTCAGGCAGCCAGTCCTCACTGTCGGCACAGCTAGTGCCTGGTCCATGTCATGGCCCTTGTGGCCCATGAGGTTCAGCCTCCTTGTGGCTGTCCTTATATCCCCCATCCTTACCCCACTCTATGCCTGTCAATCAGGATTTGCCCCATCCAGACCCCCCAAGGCTTTCCACATACCAAAGGCAAACCAGAGCCCTTCCCGTGCCCCTGGGCCCCGGGATCTGCCATCGGCCCCGCGGGTCTCACCTCCTGCTACTCCCTGTTCTCTGCTGTCCAGGATCACAGCCCCTCTTGGGGTTCCTCAAACACTCCAGCGTGGCCCCTTTTCCAGGCTTTGGAGTTGGTGGTCACTCTCCCTGGAGGAATTTCACAAGACTCACTTTGCTGGTCACCAAGGTCTCTACTAAAACATCATCAAGGTCCCTGCTGAAACATCGCTCTCCCTAGAGGCCGTCCTGTACCACTCTGCCCTCATCTCTCTCGGACCCTCCCCGGCTAATCTCTTCCTAGCGCTTATCATCTGGGGCCACATGGGAGCGCTTTGTCTTTCTTGCCGGCTGCGCTGTGTCTAGAGTCTGGCTCACGGCAGATGCTTGCTAAATATTGGCTGAATAAATGCATGGATTTGCTATTTGCCATCCACAATGGTAAATTCAGCCCTTCGAAGATGCTCGGAGCTCCCGTCCCCACAGCAGCAGTTAAACCCTTTTAAGCAGTGCTGTGTGCAGAAGCCTCTTGGGACGCAGAGGCCCCCGAGGAAGGAAACATGACCTGTCTTTTGTGGAGCGCTGGCTGCGATGAGCATCTTCAGACTCCCTGTCTTTTGTCTGCAGGGGCAGCTGCAGAATTGAACTTGGGGACTCAGTTACAGGGAGGAACAGAAACCCCCACCAAAGAGCGTGCCTGCCCTCTTGATGGCCGCACGGTCAGCACTGGGCAGAGCCCACCCCTTCTTTCAAGTAAAAGGAGCGCCTGTGTTCCAATCACCCTGTGATGCAAAGTTTCTGAAAAGGTTTGCTCACCTTACTGACTAATTAAAGGGAAGCCACATTTTTCCCTCCCTGGTCTCTGCCACCATACCACCAAGGGCTACTCGATAGGCGCTTGCAGCTTGGGTTACACAGATGCCCACGATAATGCCATTTGCTGTGATGATTGAGTCGACAAGGCTGAGTGACTTGGTGAAAATATTCCCCGATTGGACTAACCTGTTGGCGGCTTGCTTACCATCACACTTGTTTTTATAATGAAAAAGGAAATTATTTCTGCTTTTAATGATGGCAGCTCCAGAAATGGTGAGTAAAATGGATGTGGGGAGAGAAGATGCTTCTCAACATTTCTCAATGTTGTAGAGCCTGCCAACCACAGCCTGTTTGGGAGGGGACGTTCTCACCCAGGTTCCATCTTTCAGAAGCCATTTTTCCACTTATTCTTACTCTGTTTATGTGGATAAACTATGTAATTTGCTATATGCTGACAGTAAACAGAGGTATCAGCAAGAATGAAAGCCAAAAAAATGGCCCAATATGAACTTCTTGTTTTTCTAAGATAGTCTTCCAAGCTCTTCTTGCGATAGAAATGAAATAAACATTTTTGGCACGAAACTCTTGTTTAGATTTTACTATGACCTTGGGAAACACGGTTTGTTTCAAATGACTTTGCTAGTTTCCTTTGGAATTTCAAACGTTACAACAGGTAGTCACAAAGGGAATGAAAGCGGATGATCTGAGTATCTGTGTTGATGCGTCTGCTGGAGCCCCTGTGGATTTTAGCGCTTGGAGGAAGCAGGTTCCCAGAGCAGCCATGCCTGATACCTGGGAGAGGGAACTGGAGTTTAATTGGGAACCATCTGCTATTTTTCTACTTCCTCTGCCCTCTCAGAGTTACTGGGAATGACTTGGAAAGGTCTCTGGTCTTTGGCGTTGTGATAGGTGGAATTCTTTCATAGGAAACACAGCCCCAGGGTTGTTTTGATGCAAGCCGTTGGTCCAAAGCCACTCCCCACTTTGCTATGTGGGGGAAGGACCGAGAACCGGATGGCTTGGATACTTTCATTCTTAATTAGGTCATGCCCGTGTGAGCCAGGAAAGGTCTGTGTTTATGCGAAGCTAGTAATACTGTTGCCTACTATCTCTTCTGTGGTGCCATCTACATTTTTGGGACTCGGGAATTATGTGAGTACCGAAACAACTTATGCTTATGGTAGGTGTACACACGCACAGGGAAAGAATTGCGTTTCTGTGGGACAGGTGAAAACAGTCGCAAAAAAGCAATGGAAAGGGCTTTGAAAGTAATTTATCTTCTGAAGAATAACGATATGGAAACTTCTAAATGGTGAGAGGGAATCTCTCTAAAGCAATCGATTTGAAGATTGGTTGGACAAACAGCGGGAAAGTCGTTGTCTTAGCAGAATTAAGTTCATACTTTTTTTTTTTTTTGCTAATTCTAGAAGGTTTTCTGTTATCTGCTGTAGCTCAGACAAAAATGCATTCTCACCAGACGAGTTTTCGGTTAATCGATACTGAATGCGCTTTGTGTAGACTGTCGAATTTCAAAGATTTATCGTATGACCAAGATGCACCTGATGCTACAATTATAAATAGGGGAACAAATGCTTTCTGTTCCTCCTTGGCTAAGGAGATAGAGGTGGAGGTGGAGCCGGAGGTCAGAGGTCCTGAAATAGTCACCATGGGGGAAAATGATCCGCCTGCCGCTGAAGCCCCCTTCTCATTCCGATCGCTTTTTGGCCTTGATGATTTGAAAATAAGTCCTGTTGCACCAGGTAAGTAGACCCAGGTGAGGACCCTGTGATTTCTGACCACACGTGCCCCATGTAGATGACCAATGTGGCTAACTGTCCCTGTCGGGGAAGTATCTTCCCAGCCGTTCTGACACCCATAGGCTGGTCTTCCTTAGACCTGCGGAATCTCGGGGAGAAGGGGTATTGGAGAGGGGATCGTTTGGTTAAGCCCCTTGCTCTCTCCCTGGAGATGGGTATTTTCTTCCCTTGTTGGAGGTTTTCAGAGACTGGGGCTCCACAATTGCCCTGTCAATCTTGAAGGAGGTCAGATCCTGGCCAGGAAATCTCTGAGCCCTCCAGGAAGTCCTGAGAAGCAGCGGCCACCAGTCCTTCCGAAAACTCAGGATAAACTGGATGTCGCCAAAGATATTAGAGGCCTAGATTAAAATAGAGCAGCAGATGACAGAGTGGCTCCTAAGAACTGAAGAAAAAAAGTTGGTTTTGTAAATAAGTCACAAACGCCTGGTAAAACAGTGGACTCTCTAGCAACCTATATGGCTACGATCTTTTTGACCAGAGATGGTCAGGACTGGTCAAAGGGAGCTGTGGGGTTGCTGGTTCTGGAAGTCGGGGCTTGGATGCAGGCAGATTCCTGACCCATTGGTTCTGGGGAGGAACCACAGGAGCTCTGCCTGAGGTTCCAGAAAGCGGGAGTTGGGGGTCACCCTAATGATTTCTTTTAAACCACCTGGAAAATTGGCTTGGAGGAGGTTTGGAAAGGATGGGAGGTGGGAGAAAAGGTTTCAAGTAACTGAAAAGACACACTATTTAAAAATATGGCTCAAAATTACTGTAAGTGTCAATGAAAGAAAAAAAATCTTGCAATCACCTGACCCCCAAAACTTACCTGGTTTTTACATCTGCAAAGTCTCTTCCTGCTTTTGCTAATATGTGTGGTTTCATGCACATTACAAATATAGGTAGGTGGGTTTTTTTCCATAAAAGGTTTTTATAAATTTTTTCTTATGGAATCACAATATTCCATTAAGTAGATATGCAATTTACATAGCCATTTGGTCATAGTTTGACCTATAGTTGTTCCTAATATTTTATAATATAAATAATATAAATATTGATAGCATTATAATATTCCTTTCTCTTATTTTTTGATTATTTTGCTATGACTAAGTAGTGGGGAGGAACAAAAACTTTTCCTTGTAAATAGAACAATGCATTGTTCATTAGAAAAACAATTTAGAAAATACAGTTCATCAAAAAGATTTTAAAAAATTACCCACAATGGCACCATTACTCAGAGATAATCCTATTAGCAATGTACTATTGAATTTCTTGCCTTTTTCTATCTATATATCTATATTTCCTCTTGAAAGTAACATGTACTATTTGTGTTATTTTGAAGCTTTTAAAAAATTTTAACAATATCACCTTCACCTTTCTATGGCATTAAATAATTAAATATTTTCTAGATGTTGACAAACTATGGCTGATGGGTCAAATCTGGCCCACCCCTTGCTTTTGTAAATAAAGTTTTATTGGAACACAGACACACTCATTTGTTCACATACCGTCTGTGGCTGCTTTCATGCCATAACAACAGAGTGGGGTTGTTAGGACAGACCACATGGTCCATAAAGTTTAAGTACTATATTTACTATCTGGTCCTTTACAGAAAAAGCTCACCACCCCTTTTCTATATCATCTTGTCCTCCTATAGGTATTCCATTACGTATGTACCTCATTTGTTATTTCATCCGTTCTTTTTTGTGGGTAATTTGGTCTATTTCCTGTGCATCAATATTATAAGCGCCATTCTTCTAAGTGTCCTTGGGGTCGATATTTGTGTATATCTATGGTGACATTTTGGGATAAATTCCTAGAAGTGGAACTGCTAGGTCAAAACTTTCATCTGTTTTTGAGCTTTCTGGTGTCTAAGTTTACACAGTCGGGAAGTTTATACAATTTCTACCCCTGTGACTGTAGGTGGGGGGCCATTTCCTTTCACTTCATGTGAATCATTGTGAAGTTTGTACATAGTTATGTCTAATTTGCATTGTTCATCATTTTCATTTCTCAAGAAGTCGAAAGTTTTGTTTTGTTTTTTTTTCCTTGAGATGGAGTCTCACTCTGTCACCCAGGCTGGAGTGCAATGGCGTGATTGCACTGCAATCTCCACCTCCCGGGTTCAAGCGATTCTCCTGCCTCAGCCTCCTGAGTAGCTGGAATTACAGGCACATGCCACTGCACCCCGCTAATTTTTGCATTTTTAGTAGAGGCAGGTTTCACCATGTTGGGCAGGCTGGTCAAGAAGTTGAAAGCTTTTTCACACTTGTGTGCCACTTGCATTCCTTCTTTGGAGAAATACTGTGCATGTTGTTGTTTATTCCAGGCAATGCCCTCAAGGACCAAGTACAGAGGAGACGTGGGGCACCTGCAGTGCCCTCAGGGCAGCCTGGCAGAGAAGCAGAGCAAACGGGAACTGATACAACGTTTCTATTAAATGTCAATCTTTGACTTGACAATTTGGGGTCATTTTCTAAATCTGACTTAGATACAGAGCAGGTGGAATGCAAAGAGGTCATTCCTGGGGTTCCTGAAGATTTCTAAGTGTAAGACGGGGGATAGGCATCCTCAGAGAGGAGAATCGTTAGTGTGCGGGGGATTGAGGTGTGAGGGTGGAGCGAGGATCCTTTCTACGCGCTCACCACCACAGACGGGCTGTCCTGGAAGGACTTGGTCTCAGACCCTGAGTTAAAACCACCTTCATTATCATGATGTCATTCATTCAGTCATCTAGCACATTTTTATCAAGGACTACGGTGTGTCCCCTGCTGTTCTAGGTATGGAGAATGCAGACTCAACAAACCACTGAGCTTGTCCAGGCCTGAAACACAGAGCTGGCCACGGTCTCTCGTCCTCCTCGCAGCCTCCATATCTGCGACGTGCAGCTCCTATTTCCCTGCTCTTCCTCCATCTCCCGCTCACCCTCCCCTCCGCACACTCTTTTCTCCTCGCATTCTACGTCTTTTCATCATTTTTGTCTTCAAATTCTCTTCTTTCTTAGGCAGCCTCAGCTGATACTGATCGTTTTATAATCACACTCCTTATTGCCAGAGGGTGAAGTTGTGAGTCTCCACGGATAGGCAGGGAAAGATCTTTTTAGCTCTTCCATGAGAGAGTTCTCGGTTCAACAAGTCCAAGACTAGGAGGAGAGAGGCAGGTGCTAGTCTCATCCTGGGCAATTGTGTGCCCTGGGCAGGTTTCTCTCCCCTTTCTGGATTCCAATCTTCCTAATTTTTAACAAAGACAACTTGGGTATTCATGCATTTTCAGGATTGATGAAGTAATTTATGTGAGGTGGCCTGCTCTCCCCAGGAGGGAAGAGTGCTAGTGGGAATTCTTCTGCTGCCCAGAGAGGCTTATACTTCTGTCCAGGCATCTGGACACTCCTTACATATTGTCCACCAGATTTGCCTGGTTCTGGAGGCAAGAATTGCAAAGGGTCTGAGATGTCACCCTACTTGCAAGCCAAAATTTAGCCTGCCACAGTTTCATGGGTGCTTTGGAAGACACGAGAGTCCTGGGTCAGAGACAAAGGACTCTGTTCCTCACAGTGCAGCAAGGGGCACAAGCATCCTGTTTGTGCTGGCTGCCTTTGCCTTCTCAGTCCCACAGAGGCATGTGGAGCAGCCTACGTGTATGCTGCACGTGCAAGCGGTTTGCATTGCTGCTGCATATCCCAGAGTCAAGGGAACCCTCATCTTTATAATGGTCTGAAAGCAGACCTGTGCAAACTTTGCTCTGGAGGAAGACATTACATTTGTTAAACTGGACAGTAAACAAAGCTGCCTCTTGCTCTGGAGGGAGACACTCTCTGTATCTTCCAAGGCTGTTTGCTCTACACACAACCTTGAAGAGATGATCTGGAATGAAAGCTGTCAGTGTTTGTGCACAGCAACTGTGGAGAATGGTGTATCAACAGCCTGTCCTCAGCTGGACATGGTGGCTCACGCCTGTAATCCCAGTACTTTGGAAGGTCGAGTGGGGAGAATCACCAGAGCCCAGGAGTTTGATATTAGTGTGGGCAACATAGTGAGATCCCCATCTCTATAAGAAAAAATTTAAACAAACAAACAAAATCAACATCTTGTCCTTGTGTCCCCTCTGGGAGATCTCAGCCCTACCTCTGCCTGCAAGCCCCCTGTGTGGGTTTCATATCCTCCTCTGCAGGGGAACAGCCTTGGAAACTGGGATGCTACTTCCCCTCCATATTAGTGTCCTAGAACTGCTGAAACAAAGTCCCCAAAACTGGGTGACTTAAAACAACAGGCATTTGTTGTCTTAGTTCTGGAGGCTGGAAGTCCAAATTCCAAGGTGTCATCAAGGCCATACTCCCTCTTAAACCCATGGAGCACCATGCCCTGCCTCTTCCTAGCTCCTGGTGGTTTGCCAATAATATTTGGCATTTCTTGGCATGTAGATGCATTGCTCCCATCTCTGCCTTCATCTTCATGAGGCTGACTTCTGCCTGTGCCTCCTCCCATCCTCTTCCCTTCATGTATGTTTGTCCCTGTGTCCTGATTTCCCCATTTTTTTTTTTGTTGTTGTTTTTTGGAGACAGAGTTTCGCTCTTATTGCCCAGACTGGAGTGCACTGGCGCGATCTCGGCTCACTGCAACCTCTGCCTCCTGGGTTCAAGTGATTCTCGTGCCTCAGCCTCCTGAGTAGTTGGGATTACAGGTGCCCACCATCATGCCCAGCTAATTTTTGTATTTTTAGTAGAGATGGGGTTTCACCATGTTGGGCAGGCTGGTCTAAACTCACCTCAAGTGACCCACCTGCTTCAGCCTCCCAAAGTGCTGGGATTACAGGAGTGAGCCACTGCACCCAGCTGTTTTCCCCTTTTTATAAGGACAACAGTCACTTTGGATTAGAGCCCACCCTAATGACCTCATTTTAACTAGATGACTTTGTAAAGACTCTCCAGTCCATCTCCAAATAAGATGCCATTCTGAGGTACTAAGAGTTAAGACCTCAATGTGTCTTTCTGGGGGATACTATTCAACCCGTAGCACCATCCCCTCATCCCCCATGGAATAACCGGGTCAGAGGTGGAGCAGGTAGGACTGAACTTCTAAAGAATGTGCCCCATGGTTGGTGGCCCTTTCCCTAATTAAGGCACCTTTCTTTGGGCTGAGACTTCTCTGCAAAGAGGGGAGGGGGAATGGATAGCTAATGTGTAAGTTCCATGCCACTCCAAGTCAAGCTCTGTGACTTTCTGCTCTTCCTCTTTCTGGTTTTCAGATGCAAATGCCGTTGCTGCACAGATTCTGTCACTGCTGCCATTGAAGTTTTTTCCAATCATCGTCATTGGGATCATTGCATTGATATTAGCACTGGCCATTGGTCTGGGCAGTGAGTACAATTCATTATTTAGTAGGATCTCAAATACCTAGCCAAGTAGTTAAACTTTCATGAGCGCCCCCTCTCGCCCCGGCATTTTGCTGCTGCCCAGCCTTAATTACTGGAGGCAAACATCCTTTTGGTTTGCTGACTTGAAGTTTTATTTGCCCACATGAATGTAAAGCCAGTCTGGGGTGCAGCAAGGGCTGCTGGCCATGCTCATGGCTTTGTCACCAAGGAACCTGCCCGGTTAGGAGTGGCCAAAGGCAGCTGATGAAATAGAATCCCACAGGTGGGAAGGAGGCACTGACCGGGGCAGCGGGGAGAAGACAAAGCAGCCCATTCAAGCAATGCAGGCACATCAGCTGCTTTTACAATAAGGTGCATGTGACTTTTGAGAAAGTGCGTCATTTGGACGAAGGGTCTCTAATAGGGAACAATTTTTCTTTCAAATACCTGAATCACAGGTCAGTTTAATTCGCCACCTGCCCCACTGTGTGGTCCACAGTTCATTCACTTTTTGCCCTCGGTAAGAGAAACCAGGAAGGCCCGAGCAGTTCTCAGTCAGGACTCCTTGCTTGGCCGGCTCAGCAGGTCGGCCCCCAGCTATGCAGTTTCTCTCTTGACTTTGAGCCCTCCAGAGTCTCAATTCACCTCGCGTTGTGGTTCCCGGGCCAGGCCACTTAGCGAGACCAAGTGGGGCACAGCAGCCCCACCCCTTGGAATTCAAAACAGAAACTGGGCTTCAGGAAACAGGCTGCTGACAGGGATGCAATTTCAACACAAGTTTCATTATTCACGGGCAGCTCCGTGCCGTGTGGCAGGTGGACAGTTGCTGGTGTGGCACTCTGAAAGAGCTGTTGGTGAATTCCTGCCTTCCTCCCTTTCCCAGTCCACTTCGACTGCTCTGGGAAGTACAGGTGTCGCTCATCCTTTAAGTGTGTTGAGCTGACAGCTCGATGTGACGGAGTCTCAGATTGCAGAGACGGGGAGGACGAGTACCGCTGTGGTAAGGTCATGGCTCTTCCCCGGGGAAGTAGAAGGAAGCAGCAGAAGCCAACCCTGACCCTTCCCATCTGTAAAATGGGTCCAAGTCATTGCCATTTTTAGGCCATGTCCTCAGCTGGGATTGAACTGGCATTTGCCCAAAGACATGTTGGACTGGGGGTCACGGAGGGCCTTCCATGGAGCTCTGCCTCACTTGGGGAGACCACAGAAGCAATAAGATGAGACCACCGAGAAGTCTCAGGGGTCCAGAGTCCCTGCTCTGTGATGGGGAGGCTGCTGTGGACAAGAAGTGGGTCAGATGTGGCAGAGGAGGGGTTTGAGCTGGCTGTGGAGAAACCCCGGCCTGCGGTCTCAGGGTTCCACCTGCCACTAACGAGCCTTTCTCTCTGCACGTCGGCCAGTCCGCGTGAGCGGTCGGAATGCCGTGCTCCAGGTGTTCACAGCTGCTTCGTGGAAGACCATGTGCTCCGATGACTGGAAGGGTCACTACGCAAATGTTGCCTGTGCCCAGCTGGGTTTCCCAAGGTAAGTTAAAGAGCATTTCCAACCCATGGGCAAAACACAGAGAGGATAACAATGAGGAAAGACAACTACCGTTTAGTTGGGCACTATTGGGTGCTTTAACGCTCTCAGATTCCATCCTCGCAGCCACCTTAGGATGCCCGATATCATCCTCACTTCACAGGCAAGCAAACCAAGGCCAGACAGGCTAAGTGACTTGCTCAAGGCACATGGGAAGTGGCATGTTTGGGGGTTCTCAGGGCCAGGCCAGGATCGGAGATGCACACATGCAATAAAAAGCTTCAAAGTGAAAAACAAAAAAACAAAAACAAAACCAAAAAACCCTCCAGCTCCTCAGCTTGCAGCTCCAAGTAGCTTCCTGGACACTTTCATGCTTGGTCCTGGTGTCCACGCATGCTTCCCCAAGAACCCCACAGAACCAATTGTTGAAAGTCAGAAATTTAGTGAAGACAAAATCATCCAAAACAGTTGTTTAGCAACATGTAGAACAAAAAACTATAACAGCTGACTGTTCACTTTTTAGTGTTTGTGTTGCCTACATGATTTTTTGCACTGGGGTGACACATTTTTGGCCCAGGCATGGGCCTCCTTCTCTTCCCTGGCCCCTTTCTTCTGACTTCCTGCAGCCGCTGTACTTCCACGGGCTCCCCTAGCAGCCTCCTTACTCCCCTTTGCTCTCAAGTCTCAGCGCTCAAAACAAGCAGGCTGCATTCTGCTTTGCCCTCAAGTAGATGGGGTCATTAAAGCCACACCGCCCTGAGTCCTCCACAGTCTCAGTTTTCAAATTCCATGCATCATATTCTCGGCTCTCTTTCCCCAAAGCCGGTGGAAGCCAAAATGCTCTCCAGCCTCCAGCCCTGAGGTCTGCCTCCTTCTCCCTCCACACCAACTGAGATTCAGAAATGAGCTGCAATTCAAGTTCAATGAGAACAGCAAAAATCATCCACACTAACACCTTCAGGAATTATATATTACTCCTCAGAGACAAGGAGGAAGAGGTACACACACACACACACACACACACACACACACACACACAGCACACAGCTGAGAGCTTCCCCGTCGGGCATTTCTCTTCCCTGCGAAGGTCGTGCCAACTGCCTTGATTACATTTTCCTCAAAACTCAAAGCTGACCGAACTTTGTATTCTACATACACATCCCATAGCATTTACAGTAAGCGGAAGAAATCCTACTGATAAGCTGGTGTGTTCGCCATGACAACAAGCTACTGCACTATGTTTTGTTCATTTCACAAAGAAAGGAGAACATGGCTGTTTATTCACCATCTTCCATCTTGTGACTCTCCAAACATTTGATTCTTTTTTAAAAAGTTGCACCACTTTCTCCACTGTTCTCCAGAAGACCTGCGTCCTGGCACTGTGAACATGAGCTGGGCTCTGGTGTTCGTGGAATCCCTTTGTTGTATGTGTTCATCTCTTCCAGTGGGGCCCCACGCTGGTCCTGGGCAGATAAGAAATGTCTCTCTTGTTCCTCCAACTCGTTGTTCGTGGGGAGCTTGGCGTCCCTGCTTGGGTGCCCCCCGACAATACTGCGCCTATTTCTGTGCTCACCTCCCCTCTGGACTTGCTTCAGGCCAAGCAAAGGGCAGTTCACTGGAATGTGCAAAGAGTGACCCATCCAGGGACATCAGGAGGCGGTCACTCACTGTGTGGCTGCAGCCCAGGGTGGGTGGACAGGGCCGTCAGGTGCAGGCCAGAAGCGGGGGTCATCCCGGAACAGAGCAGGCCTGGAATGAATGCCTTGCCAGGGTGAGTGAACTTCATTCTCTTGGCAAAAGGAAGCCTTTGACGGGTTTGGGGGGACAAAATGACATCCCCCAGGTACAATCCCTGTCATATTGTGACTCGCACATAGGCTGAATGCTTCAAAGGGTAAATTTACCACATCGGGTCTGTGTTTCCGATGTACTTGCAGCTATGTAAGTTCAGATAACCTCAGAGTGAGCTCGCTGGAGGGGCAGTTCCGCGAGGAGTTTGTGTCCATCAATCACCTCTTGCCAGACGACAAGGTGACTGCGTTACACCACTCGGTATATGTGAGGTAGGTGGTCAGGCGATGCTATTGTCTGCATGGGTATCGAGTCACCTGCTGGATTTGTGATACTGTTCTCAACTCCACAAGGACGTAAGAAGCATACGTGTGTTATCTCAGATGGAAGGTGGGAGTTGGCCACCTTGGTGAGACTGGTGGATGCACCAGGCTGGGGATGTGAGAACCTGGACCCAACTGGGCAAGTATGGCCCAACGAAGAAAGGGAAGGAAATAGAGTAGAAGGGTAACAGTGCTGTGTGTGTGACCAAGGTACTGTCACATGACAGGCACTCTGGGTGTGTGTGGGGAATGAAAGCAGGCAAGAAAGAATGGGGGTGGGGAGGAAAAGAGGAAGGGAGGGAGGGAGGGAGGAAGGAAGGAAGGAAGGAAGGAAGGAAGGGAGGAAGAGATGGAAGAAGGAAGGAAGGAAGGAACGAAGGAAGGAAGGAAGGGAGGGAGGGAGGAAGAGAGGGAAGAAGGAAGGAAGAAAGGAAGGAAAGAAGACAGGAAGGAAAGAAGGAAGGGAGGGAGGAAGGAAGGAAGGAAGGAAAAGAGGGAAGGTAAAAGGAAGAAAAACAGATATTAAGATAGAAATTTATCCTTCTTTGTTTACTAAATATTTTAGCATTCATTCTTTAATTTACATGTTTTCCCCAACAACTCATGGGGAAGGTAAAACCAGGTGTCCTTAAATAACCATCAGGTAGCTGAAACCTACAGGGACCACCTGCCTTGCCCCAGGTTAGACGGTACATAGCAGATACAGCCAAGAGTTCTGAATCCAATTCCATATTATCTTCCTGACACCTTGGCCCAAACCCTAAGATGCTCATTTTCTGCTCTGGGAACGACAGGCTTGTTGGTCTGTCCATCGGGGATGAATAAGCACCTGGGACCCACATGCAGTCTGGAGGGACAGTTCATGTCTTGGGTGCTAAATCCACAGTCTGGTGACACTAGCTTTCTCTTGCATGATGAGCTGGGGCTCAAAAGGCAGAAAACATTACAAAGATTTTGGGATCCTTTTCCCTTCACTATAAGAAAAGCACCCACCCAGGTCTCCACCTGTGTGTGGGGATGGGGGTAGGACTGTCAGTTTTGGGGCAATCACACTTTGTTGCTCTGGGGAGGAGTCCTCTGCCAGGTGTGTGAACCCAGGCTACAAGGAGTCCTGGAGAGCTTGCCACGCTGTCCCTTGGGCACTCTTGTGTCCCCAGGGACCAGGAGGTGGAGAACATTGGGCTGAATCGCCACGCAATGACAGCGTGATATGTTGATAGAATATATCTCCTTATACATCCTTTATCACTAGCTATCTAAAGCTTAGAAATACAGAACAGCCCGTTGCATACACAATACTTCACTGTCAGTCGAGTGTTTTGGAATGAATTGTGTGACCTCATCCTCATTTTTTTTTAACATAGACTAAAACTGTAATCTATATTCAAGAGAGGGGGAAATAGAATTTATTTTTCTGTTACCCTAAGATTAAGTTTTTAAGAGTGTTCCTTTCACAGACCTGGGGCATTTTTCATGGAGCCTACTTTTTCTCCGCTTTAGGGAAGGATGTGCCTCTGGCCACGTGGTTACCTTGCAGTGCACAGGTAAGAGTTCTAGAAAGGCAGGGGTCTGGGGGAAGCAAGCACACGCTGAGTCCTATCTCCTTGCCCGCTGAGTCCTCTCTCCCATGGGGCTCTGTGTCCCTTCCCCTTGGGTGCCAGGTGGGAACTCTGTGTACCCCTACCTGCCGGACGAGGGGAGCAGTGTCATCCTCACCTGTTGGCCTCACCTGTCAGGTGGGGGAGACAGCCAGAGCAACTCATTAGCAGCAGACAGGACCAAGGCCCATGATGTCCCATCGCTCTGTAGAGCCTTGAGTCCCTGACTTAGTACCCATTTCCTCCTTACACGTGCACAGTGCTCACTCCAGGCCTCGGGCAGTACCCCTCATTCCTGGCAGAGGGGAGTGTTCACACCGCAAGGGTGGAGTCTGGAGCAGTCAGGGAGGTGTGTACACCTGCAGCCGTGAGGAGGGGGCTGCAGAAGGTTCCTGCCTGCTCCTGACATCCCAGGGTGTTGTCATCACTGGGGGAACAGGATGGGGAGTGGCACTGCCAACGCTGGGCACTGACCAAGTAGGGCAGATGCTTTTCCCACCACATCCCCCACAGCACCTACCATCCTCAGGTCTCCCCAAGAGCCTCCCCTGCTGAGCTCCCCCTTGCAGCACTTGTCTTACAGCTGCTGTGAGCTCTGGGAGGGTGGGGGGCAGTGAGGGTGGGGAGAGAGGAGCAGGTGCATGGTGGTGACACCATGTCCCCCAAAGAAGTCTGCAGGGTGGAGCCACAAGCCCTTGTTCCCTTCCGTAGCCTGTGGTCATAGAAGGGGCTACAGCTCACGCATCGTGGGTGGAAACATGTCCTCGCTCTCGCAGTGGCCCTGGCAGGCCAGCCTTCAGTTCCAGGGCTACCACCTGTGCGGGGGCTCTGTCATCACGCCCATGTGGATCGTCACTGCTGCACACTGTGTTTACGAGTGAGTGCTGCTGACCTTCTTCCCAGACCCCTGTTCACTTCTGGGTCATGTCGGGGCGGGGCTGCTTTGGGTGGTGAGAAGCAGGTCCAGAGGGAAGACAGAGAGACCAACCCCCAAGTAATGTCCAGTTGGAGAGGTGAGAGGTGCCTCCAGCCTCACTGTGGACCATCGTCATTGGCTGGTGGTGACTGGTGACCTTGAGCTTGTTTTCAGGATTGTAGCTCCTACAGAAAGGACAGACAGAGGAGGAAGGAAGCTCTGGTGCTGGAGGAAACCCACAAAAGTGAAAGGACCTAGACCTTCCTGTAGCTAATTCCAGTGGACCATGTTATGGCAGAGACAGGGTGAGATGGTAGTGAGGGAGGCTAGAGGGAATATGTTGGGGGCCAGGTACTGGGTCTCTTCTTCTTAAAATCTCAGGAGCTTAGAGTGCAAGAAAGCTGCAGAAAAGACTTCCAAACACAATGATTCTCCCTGATATTTTTACCCCTGATTTTGTTGCTGTTTGAAGAAGAATGGGCCCTGATAGACTCCTTGCAGTGAGCAACGTTGAGTTCAGCCCTCAAATGCCAAGAAGACCTCAGAGGTGCTGAGAGTGAGGCCTGTCTGGGAAACACATGGGGTGTGGGTCTGTGTTTCTGCAGGGCATGAGAGTGCAGTTACGTATACAGCATAAACAAGCAGGGTGATGGGACCACCTCTTGCCTGATAACCTCTCCCACCATCTTCCTAGGTTTTCAAGACACCTGAAGTCAATGAGTTCAGTGGTCAGACTTTTCCTGTGCTTCACCTCTTGCTCTTCTCATTTCAGCTTGTACCTGCCGAAGTCATGGACCATCCAGGTGGGTCTAGTTTCCCTGCTGGACAATCCAGCCCCATCCCACTTGGTGGAGAAGATTGTCTACCACAGCAAGTACAAGCCAAAGAGGCTGGGGAATGACATCGCCCTCATGAAGCTGACTGGGCCGCTCACGTTCAATGGTACATCTGGGTCTCTATGTGGTTCTGTGGCGCTTGCTTTGTTTCAAGAGGATTTGCAATTGCTCAATGAAGCAGTCTTATGATGGCTGCTTTATAATCCTTGTCAGATATTAATAATTCCAACTCCTGATTCATGTTGGTGTTGGCATCAGTTGATTATCTTTTCTCATTAAAGTTGTGATGTTCCTAGTTCTTGTGATTTCATGTGATTTTCAGTTGTATCCTGGACAATGTGGCTATCATGTTTGCAGACTTGAGTCCTACGTACCTTTTCAATGTTACCCTGTTTAAATGTAGTTTGTAGATCCTGGCCTACAGAATGAATGCACTGATGACTCTGCCAGGTAGATTGGTGGGTTGTGGTTCCAACCATAACTTAATTTTAGAGCCTTCGTGGGCTGTGTGCTTTGTCTGGTGCCACCTTCTCCCTGTTGGTGCCACCTGGAGGCAGGAAGAGCTTCTTGAGGCCAGACCACCTGGGGCCTCTAGGTGGTGGAAGAGAGTCATCCATCTGTAGGGACAAAGAGCCCTTCCCTGTCCAGATGCCTAGTGGGGATGCGTCGCCTCCGCCAGTGCCACCCGCCTGCCTGTTTTCTCCAAGTAGAGGGGCCATCATGGTTGAGAAACAGAACCTCCCAGGCTGGCCAGGTGGTGTGGTGGCACCCTCTCATTTCTTTACAGGCTGAAAGATGCTGGGCACCCTCAGCCCCCTGGAAGTACAGAAAAGTTCTCTCCCTACCAGCAGCTCCTAAACACCCTGTTTCTTGAAAAAGTCAAGCCCTGCCTTCTGGACATTACGAAAATGCCAGAAGAGACACACCTGATAAAACTTGCAAACATCTCGTAGATGCAAACAAAGTACTAGGAGACTACTCCCAAATAAATTAAAGCCCTTTCTCCTTCTCAAGTAAACAGGGAGAGCATAATAAATAGGTGAATTCCCTCTTATTGGAGCAGAATCCTGGCCTGAGACCAGCTGCAGGCTCTACTTGGCAGAGTCACTACTGCATCCATCTCATGGACACGTAATGCCCGAAAACAAACATTTCCAGAGAGGCAGGAAAATGGTTGTGGTGGTGCCAGTTTGCCAACTATTATTAATGATATTGGTTACAGGAAATGAGGTGCCAGCACTTGTTCTTTGACAAAAATTCAAGTGAGTTCTTTCATTCTTTCTCTACCTCTCCATTACTGTGCTGCACAGAAAAGCTTGGGGGAACCTTAGGGTGTGTTCACATGAAAGCCTGAGGTATGTGCAGAGCACTCTGGCTTTGGGGGAGGCCCACAGGACCCAGCTCTACACACAGGCAAACTTGTCGTCTCCAGATGTCCCAGGAACCGTAGCAATATTCATGGAGCCGTGTTCTATAAGCAACACATGTACATCTAGACCAGGAGTGGGCACGTGCTGGCCTGAGGGCCAGGTCTGCCCCATCGTGTTTTGGTAAATAGACATTTTATTGGACACAGTCACACCTATGTGGGTACCTATCACCTGGGGCTGTCTTCATGCTCCAATGGCAGCCATAGAGACCGCACAGCTTACGAAGCCCAAAACATTGACTATTCAGCCCTTTCCACAAGAGGTGTGCTGACCCTGGTCTAGGCTCCCTCACCCTGCCACGGTGGAGGGCTGTTCTACAGTTTTAAGTGCTCTGGGAGTGGTGGATGGGGTAAGGGGCTCCTGCTGTGAGCTGATCGTTTTCAAGTAACCAAGGGCTTGACCTTCCCTTGTGAGATGGTTCGTGCTCCTCCAAGGCAGAAGCACAGATGAGATGGTTTTCTTGGACTCCTGCTTCAATTGAGTTGAGAACTACTGTTTCCTTTCAGAGATGATCCAGCCTGTGTGCCTGCCCAACTCTGAAGAGAACTTCCCTGATGGAAAAGTGTGCTGGACGTCAGGATGGGGGGCCACAGAGGATGGAGGTCAGTGGGCTGAAGCCAAGATTCTGAGCCCGGGAGCCCAGAACCCAGAGGGCTGTGGAGGGGGCTCCCCCAATGTTCCAATGTGATGTTCCCATGGGCTGCCCAGATACACCGGCCAGGGAGTGTATGTCAACTGCTCAGGACACAGTCAGCCGAGGAGCTGTGGGTCAGGAGTCACGGTTCCATTGTTATGGGGACAACATGACACTGCAGACCTTCTCAGGACAGAGTTAGACCTTCTTAAACACAGCAGGTGTTTCCCTTCCCCTGCCCAGACCCCCAGCCTCGTTAACTGAGGACATACAGAGCCCACCTAGACAACACTCCCAGGCTTCATTCGGAACTCAAAGATTTGTGTTTGTGAAGACTCTTTGCCTTGTGGGACTTTGGAAGATGTGTTCTTTCATCCTACAAAGAGCAAGTGGAAGCAGCAGCAGATGAGATTGCTGTAATAATAAGGGAAGCAGGAGTGGCAGTAACCATAGTCCATGCAAGTGAAGCCTGGGCGCCTTTCCTTAGTGTGGGCACAGAGCCAGTCACAAGTCTTAGGTTTTTCCATCAATCACTTTCTTTGTTAGTAGGAAGAGGATTCATTTTCTGTGGCTGCTGTAACAAATTCTCACAGTCTGGGTGGCTCAAAATGATGGAAATTGGCCAGGTGTGTTCGCTCACACCTATAGTCCCAGCACTTTGGGAGGCCAAGTCTATGGGATCCCTTGAGGCCATTAGTTTGAGACTAGCCTGGGCAACATAGAGAGGCATCGTCTCCACAAAAAATACAGAAATTAGCCAGGCATGGTGGCATGCACCTATAATCCCAGGACTTTGGGAAGCCAAGGCAGGAGGATTGCTTGAGCCCAGGAGTTTGAGACCAACCTGGGCAACATGGCAAGACCCTGTCTCTATAAAAAATTAGCCTGGGCCGGGTGCAGTGGCTCATGCCTAAAATCCCAGCACTTTGGGAGGCCGAGGCAAGTGGATCACTTGAGGTCAGGAGTTTGAGACCAGCCTGGCCAACATGGTGAAACCCTGTCTCTACTAAAAATACAAAAATTAGCCAGGCATGATGGCACATACCTGTAATCCCAGCTATTCAGGAGACTGAGGCTGTAGAATCACTTGAACCCAGGAGGCAGAGGTTGCAGTGAGCCAAGATCACGCCATTCCATTCCAGTCTGGGTGACAGAGCAAGACTCCATCTCAAAACAAACAAACAAACAAACATTAGCCTGACACAGTAGTCCCAGCTACTCAGGAGGCTGGGGTGGGATTGCTTGAGTCCAGGAATTCTAAGCTACAGTGAGCTGTGATCATGCCACCATACTCCATCCTGAGTGATAGAGTGAGACTTTGTGTTTAAAAAAACAAAAAACAAAAAAGAACAACAACAACAACAAAAAAAGAAAATGTGGAGATTTATTTCCACACCCAACTGTGGTGTCTGTAGGGTGGTTTTCCTGGAGGCTCTGACCCATTTCCTTGGGTTCTGGTGGCTGCAGCTGCACTGGCGTTCCTGTGCTTGTAGCTGGATCTCCAGCCTCAGCGTCCGTCCTCCTGTGGCTTTGTCCCCTGTGTCTCTGTATCTCAAACTTCCCTCTCCTGTGTCTTATAAGAATACCAAGTCGTTGGATTTAGGGTCCACCCTAAATGCAGGGAGATCTCATGTTGAGATTCTTACGTTAATTACATCTGCAAAGACCCTATTCCAAATAAGGTTGGGCTCCATAGTGGCAGGTAGGCATATTTTGGAGGGGCCCACAGTTCAGCCCAACACAGGAAGTTCAGTGTTTTCCTCTCAACACCGATCACTTGAGCCCCTCGCCCCGCTGAAGGCACGCAGGGGCTGAGCCGGATGCTTCGAGTCTGCGGGGCCTACTTACCCCCCGCTCACTGGCAGTGCTGCTCAGCTGGCCGAGGGCACTCAGAGCTCTATGTAGTTTCCAGACCACCCACGTGGCCCAGGCCCAGCTCTGAGCCAGTGCGGCTGGTCCAGGGCCCTTCCAGCTTCATCAGAACCAGCACCCCTGGTGTGTGGTGGGAGCTGGGAGACCAATCTTTGCTCCCCTTCCTCTCGTGGTGGGCTCTCATTCAGGACCACTCAGCCCACCAGAGTCATTCTAATGACACTGGGCTCTGAAGAGGAGGCTGTGCAACAGCTTCATCCTCCCAGGAGATTCTCCATCCTGCTGCAGATTTGCTTCTCGCTGACAATCTGCTCTGTCCAGCACAAAAGGTCCAGCGAGCCCCTGTCCTGATGCGGCTTCAGCCCCAGCCTGGGCTGGAATCTTCTCCCATAATGCGTTGAGCTGTTTCGCCACGTTCCGGGCAGGAAGCTGAGTGTCTTGTGATACCATGTGCTCCTCAGAGCAGCCCCTCAGGGTCCTGTCATTGTGGGATTTTGTTGTCTCCATGAAATCTATGGAGTCTTTAAAACATCAAGATGCCTGGGTCACATGAACCAGCTAGGCTGGAGGGGTCCATCGCTCCGTGTCGGGGGTGTGCTTGGCCCACTGCAGGTGGATTGAATCTCCTGTGACTGTTGCAACAAACGACCCCAAATTCGTGGCTTAAAATGACACAAAGGTATCATCTCATAGTTAGGAAGGTCACAGGTCCAAACTCAGTCTCAGGGCGCTGGTGTCAAGTGTGGGCTGGGCTGGCTTCTCCTGGAGGCCCTCGGGGAACCTGCCTCCTGCCTTTCCCAGCATCTGCGCTCTGCCCGCACTGCTTGGCTCGTGCCCCTCCTTGGTCTTCCAGGTCAGCAGTGCCACATCTTCTAATCTCTCTCTGACTCTCTGACTCTGGTCCCTGCTCTGTCGTCACGGCTTCTCCTCCGGCTCCTCCAAAGACCCCTGTGACTTCGTTGGGTCCACCCTCTTACTCAGGATCATCTCCCCGCTCAAGGCCTGTGCCTCAATGAACCTGCGATGTCCCATTTGCCCTGTAAGGTGACACAGTCATAGCTTCTGGGGATTGGGGTGAGAATGTCTTTGGGGGACATTTTTCTGCTGACCATCCCAGAGTTCACAAAGATGCTGAGTGACCTTCCTGAGCCTCAGTTTCCCTCCCATAACTTGGGGTGTTCTGATGGCTGATTGGGCTGGTGCCCTGGGGAGGTGCCTTGGCCACTGTTGCCCTCCCCCCTCCACTTTGGACACTTTAGGAGAGTCGGTGGCCCTGCCTTGAAGCAGAGTGGCCCCTTGCAGCCACCTAACAGGTGGGCAAGCTCTGGGCTTGACATGCTTCAAGACGGTGGGAATCTACTCATCCCACCGGCAGGGCCCTGTCCTTTTCTGCTGTTGCATCACACCAGGGAGCACCCCCCTCGTCCCTCGTTCCCTCGTTCCCTCGTCCCCCTGGTCCCAGCACGCGCCCTCTGTGTTTTGAGCCAGGCTTCCTTCTCACACGCCTCCCCTCACTTGCTTTGAAGCAGGTGACGCCTCCCCTGTCCTGAACCACGCGGCCGTCCCTTTGATTTCCAACAAGATCTGCAACCACAGGGATGTGTACGGTGGCATCATCTCCCCCTCCATGCTCTGCGCGGGCTACCTGAAGGGCGGTGTGGACAGCTGCCAGGTACGGGGCCACAGCGGTGGGTGGGGCCGTGGCAGGGTGACCCAGCCCTTGGGACAGGCCGTTGCCAGCACTTCCCTGTGACAGAACAAAAAGTAAATTTACAGGGCGTGGAGAAGAAATGTGCTCAAGATATCACTCCTTCTCCTGGCTGCCAGGCCTGTGTTTACCCAGTGATCTGGCTCCGCGTGGGTGCTGGGTGGTGGGAGGGGTCTCGCGCTGCTCCCCTCCAATTCTGACTTTGTGGGGGGCCACAGGGGAGGGAGGTGGCAGGGAAGCAGTGAATCTGGCCCTCCGAAAGCTGCAGTGGGTGGGACTCCAGTTCTACCAGGTGGATCACAGGTTACCTGAGGGCCCTGGCCAGGCGGACCCTCCCTCTCACCAGCTGCCCTTGAGCTTCAAAGGGTCAGGGTCTGCATTCTGGAAGGGACACACAGCTGGAGGCAGCACCCCAAAGGGGTCGAGGGACATCCTCTCTTGGGGATGCTGTGTCTGGATGGGCTGGTGGGTTTTCTTCTGTAACCTGGGTGGTCCGTTGTGACATCATGAAGGGGATCCCAACTCCACAGCAAGCAGCCTCGCATGGCAGTCTGTCCCCAGAAAGCAACCTCGCATGGCAGTGCCTGTCCCCCAACATTTGCTTCTCTCCTGTCACCCAGGGGGACAGCGGGGGGCCCCTGGTGTGTCAAGAGAGGAGGCTGTGGAAGTTAGTGGGAGCGACCAGCTTTGGCATCGGCTGCGCTGAGGCGAACAAGCCCGGGGTGTACACCCGCGTCACCTCCTTCCTGGACTGGATCCATGAGCAGATGGAGGTGGGTGCAGCGCCCTCCCCACCTCACATTGTCCCTGGTTTTTGACCCCTAGGGTTCATTAAATGCAACCCTGGTCTTGCCATAAAGAACCAGGGAGTGACCGAGTGGTTGTCAGTTCAGCAGCAGTGATTTGGTGGCTCCAGGGTGTCAGACGCTTGTGCCGAAAACAGAGATCACAGCTGGTCCTGGGCAGCTCTGGGTGGGTACAGCCTGGCAGGCAGAGGAGCTGGGGCCGGGAGGAAGAAGGAGCCTCACGACATGGGAAAGGAGGAGGCAGTGAGGAGGAGCCCCTGCTGGGATGGGGATGGGTCAGGTGTGCCCCTGTGTGCCAGGAGCAGGGAGAAAATGGGAGGGAGCGAGGGGCTGAGACAGTTCGAGAGAGGACCCTGCCTGACTGCTGAGGGGCTGGAACCTCGCTGGGAGCCAGGGATGTGAGGCAGCATCTGCAGTCAGGAGGGGCTTGGAGAGCTCTGCGTTGGTAGTGTAGGGGTGGGTGGTCCTGGAGGGGGAGGGGTGGAAGTGGGAGGGGCCTACAGGGGGGCACCGAACAGCGGGGCTGGCTTGGCAGGACCCAGGCATGGAGGGGAGCTCTGAGACGGTGGAGGAGGAAGAAGGAGGCTTAGGGCTTTGCTGGGATCCTGGCAGGTGAACACAGAGCCTTTCTCATGTGGGCGCTGGGGAAACATTTGCTGGCTCGATCTCAGAGTCTCTCACCCCACTCCTTGGGATGGTTTTAAACACAGGAGGTCCTCACTCAGTACGGTTGACGGGATCTTGGAAACTGCAGCTTTAGGAGAAACAGTGTACACAGGCCCTCCAGCAACGTCCTTGCTTGCAACATAATTTTGTTACAAAGTCGATGAGAAAAAAATTGGTTTCATTATATATCATTTTGCTTAAAGTCGTAGTTTCCAATAACTAACAATGATGTCAAAGTGAGTACGGTTTTTTTCGTAATTCAGGTGAAATTTATAAAACATACAATTCACCATTTTAAAGTGAACAACCCTGTAGCATCAGCACATTCCCAGGGCTGTGCAGCCGCCACCTCTGCCAGTTCCCAGCATTCTCATCTGCCAAAAGACACGTGGCACCCTAGAAGCACGCAGTTACTCCCCACTCCACTCTTCTCCCCAGCCTCTGGCACCCACCAGTCAGCTTTCTGTCTCCGAGGCTCAAGGACCTTAAAAACCTTTAATTTGAAACAATTGACCAAGAAAGGACATCAGATGCTGAATGTGCCTCAGGCGTTAATTCCCATTTTGCTCTCATTGATTTTGTGCCTTAATTGAGAAACTACAGAACGGTGCCCACGGCAGAGGGCGAGGCCTGGGACTGAGACCTGGGCTAGTTTCACCTTCAGCACTGCTGCCCTGCAGCCCTGAGCACAGTCACAACCCCCGGGGTGTGGCGAGGGCTGTGCTCCAGCTTGGTGGAAAGTGCTTGCTCCTGTTCACCTTGCTGGGAGAGGCAGCCTGGCCTCGTACCGGGCACTGAGTGGCCTGCAGTGCTCTTCAGTACAAAGCTCAGCTCAGCGTGCCCGCACTGTAGAAAGGACCAGGATGGACAGCTGAATGGGAGACCTCCTCACTGTTCAGGGTTCTGTGGGAGCCTGGGGCACAGAAGGGTCGTGGGTGCAGAGGGCAAAGGGCAGGAAAGGAGAAGCTGGTCCTCCGCACGGGTCTGTGGAGGCATTCACGGGACACAGATCCCCAGGGGTTGAGCACTGAGCCAGTGATCCTAAAAGTCCTCCTTAAGACACTGAAGGCGCAAGGCAGAGAAGCCCACTGCCATGTCTTCCAGCTGTCGTGGGCGAGCTGGAGAAAAACGTTCAAAATCAGCCTGGGAAGCCCGCTCACAACGGTGCCACGACGGGGCCGCCTCAGCCCCTCCCCTGTCAGCACCATCCTGGGCCACAGAGGCTGTGACCCTCCCTGTACTACAGTGGAGGCGACCTGCATGAGACCCCCGGCTAACAAGGGCAGAGTGTGAGTCACATCAGATCCCCGACGTGGCCGCAGCACCACTGCACAGCGGAATCAACAGATCTCACACTTAGGGGTGCAGAAGCCTGTCTCAGGCTGTTTGTTAAATGTGAAGATTGCAGGGCGTTTCTCCAGAGTCTGATGGGGAGGTCTGGGGTGAAGACCCTGGTGAATTTGTTGCACGGGGGCTTCAGGGCACACTGAGAAGCCCTGGGAGGGTCTTGGAGGCAGTTTCCCCTATTGTGGTGAAGCTGTGGGAAGCTGTGGTGGAGGAGCTCGTCTGTGACACTGGCTCCGGTGGTGCCTGGAGCCCCTGCTCCTTGCACGACGCCTTAGTCATCCGCTGCCTCCAACCCACCAGTGCATGTGTGAGATGCGCGGCCTCAGACACACACAGCCTTTCCCAAGTCCCTCTTCAGACGTCCTAGGGGAGACTCAGAAGAGACTGCCTTTCCTAGGAGGTTTTCCAGCGGCCCGCTGTGCGTTTCAGTTGTTCCGTTGTGAGGAATGTCAACGGGAGGGCCTTCCGAGGGCTCACTCTCTTGCGGGGAAGTGTCCCGTGTGCTAGTTGGTGGCGTGCCCGCGGCCTCATCTTCATTTTCATCCAGCACTTTTCTCTGTCTAGTTGAGGGCTTAAAACAAAATTGTTCTGACTCAAACCAGAACTTAGGAACACAGTGCCAAGACCTAGAAGTTTCCTATGGAAGTGATGAAATGGTCACAGGGCAGAGATGGGACCTGCAGATGCTTTGCTGGTCGGCGCTTTTCCTGCCTGCCTCGGATCCGCTCACAGCTGGCAGCCCCAGGGGGAGGCCAACCTTGTCTTCATCGTGGAGAACAGCCTCACAATTCCTGTAGGGCAAAATGCAGGTGCCTGTTCCGTCACCATGCTGGACGGATGGCTGGAAGTGCTAAAAACAATAACACCTTTGTTTTCATTTACAGAGAGACCTAAAAACCTGAAGAGGGAGGGGACAAACCTGCTTTCCTGCGGTGATGGAGACAGCCCAACCCTCCCCTGGCCGCCCGTGTGGGAACCTGCACATCAGCAAACACCTTCAGAGCTCTGCGTTCCGGCACCAGCAGCAGGCCCGAAAGAGGCGCCCTTCCATCGGATTCCAGCACAACCTTCCAGCTCCTTTTTTTGTTTTGAGATGGAGTCTCGCTCTGTCGCCCAGGCTGGAGTGCAGAGGTGAAATCTCTGCTCACTGCAGCCTCTGCCTCCCGGGTTCAAGTGATTCTCCTGCCTCAGCTTTCCCAGTAGCTGGGACCACAGGCACCTGCCACCACGCCCAGTTAATTTTTATATTTTTAGTAGAGACGGGGTTTCACCATGTTGGCCAGGCTGCTCTCGAACTCCTGACCTCAAATGATGTGCCTGCTTTAGCCTCCCACAGTGCGGGGATTACAGGCATGGGCCACCACGCCCAGCCTCATGCTCCTTTCTGATCTTCACTAAGAACAAAAGAAGCAGCAACTCACAAGTGTGGTCTTTCCCACTGGTCCACTTGGTTTTCTCTCCAGGGGTCTTGCAAAATTCCTGATGAGATAAGCAGTTATGTGACCTCATGTGCAAAGCCACCAACAGCCACTCAGTAAAGATGTACCGGCCCAGAACTGCGTAATTGCGGTCATTGCACGTTTTTATCCCTAGGGACCAGAACCAAACCCACCCTTTCTACTTCCAAGACTTGTTTTCACACGCGGGGAAGTTAATCTATGAATGACTCGTTTAAGGCATATTTTCATGATTTCTTTGTAGCATTTGGTGCTTGATGTATTCTTGCCCTTTGATTCCAAATAATACGTTTTCTTCCCTCATTGTGTGGCATGTCTGAGGGGACACTGACTGGTCATGTGAATCGAAGTCATCCACTGAATTCCAGAGGCTCCGTTACCGTCATCTCTCCTGTGTGCACTGTGCATTTGGCATTCTTCTGTCAGAGCAGGTTGCTCAGCAGATTAGCATCAGCTCATGTCATACACAAAACTCAAAAGCAGAGCAAGGCCAGGCAAAGTAGTGGGTGTGAGCAGTGGCCGGAGGGAGTGAGTGGTGGCCAGAGGGTGTGAGACCTGGACGGAGGGTCTGAGTGGTGGCCATAGTGTGTTAGTGGTGGCCGGAGGGAGTGACTGGTGGCCAGAGGGTGTAAGACCTGGACAGAGGGTCTGAGTGGTGGCCATAGCATGTTAGTGGTGGCTGGAGGGAGTGACTGGTGGCTTGGGGGCGTGAGACCTGGATAGAGGGTCTGAGTGGTGGCAGTAGTGTGTGACCAGTGGCCGGAGAGTGTGAGCGGTGGCCAGAAGGAGTCCACGGTGGCCAGAGAGCGTAAGCGGTGACAGGATAGTATAAGCGGTGGCCGGACGGTGAGCCATGGCTGGAGGTTTTGAGTGGTGGTCAAAGGGTGTAAGCGGTGGCCAGAGGGAATGAGCTCTGGTTGGAAGGAGTGGGCAGAGGCAGGAGGGTGTGAGCAACAGCCAGATGGTGTGAAGGGTGGCGGAGGGAGTAACAGTAGTTTGAGGGAGTGAGCCGTGGCCGAAGGGTGTTAGTGGTGGCCAGAGGGTGTGAGTGGTGGCTGAAGGGTGTGGGCGTGGCCAGAGGGAGTGAGCACTGATCAGAAGATGTGGGACCTGGACCGAGGGTGTGAGTGGTGGCCGGAGGGAGTGAGAAGTAGCCGGAGGGTGTGAGTGGTCGTTGGAGGGAGTGAGCCCTGACCGGAGGGAGCGAGCGGTGACCAGAGGGTGTGATCGGAGGCCGGAAGGAGTTGGCGGTGGCTGGAGGGTGTGAGCAGTGTCTGGAGAGAGTGGATGGTGTCCAGAGGGTGTGCACGGTGGCCAGAGGGAGTCGGTCTTGGTCACAGGGAGTGAGTGGTGGCTGGAGGGTATCAGCAGTGGCCGGAGGGTCACAGGAGTTGCTGAGGTCTGCTGTTCCCTTCACATGTGCCGTGGCCATTTACCAATCACTCTTTTCACCAGGAGCCGCTGGTGCAAGGACGCAGCCCCCCACCTTCAACCCTCCTGCTCCTAATCCGCCCTCATTAGCACCTGGGACTGGTCCAGCAGAGGCCAGGGCACCTCCAGGCAGGGATGTTGTATAGGAGCTGGCCAAGCCTTTAAGTTATATTTTCTACAATATTATTGGTTCCCAACGCAGTATTAAAGTTCCTGGAGGCCACAGAGGAAGAGGTGGGAAAAGGGAAGGGACAGGAGTGGGGGACGGAGCCCAGGACCAGAGTGCTGCTGGCCTATCGAGCTCACTCTCAGAGGAAACCCAAGAACTTCCCAGGCCTGGCTGCCAGGAAGGGCTCCGGGGAGGGCAGCCAGTCCCACTCCTCCACGGACCTGGAAACTTCCAGATCAGGTGCTATTTCCAGACCGCTAGGCAGCTGTCTCCTAGGCCAGTGGCCTGGGTGCCTCATCTCACCTCCCTCCTGCTGTCAGAGCTCCCTGGAGGAAGAAGGACTGGGGAACTTGGGGGTCTACTTCCTGCCAGACCAGAGCTACTTACAGCAGCCATACCTGGGGGTTCTGTAGTGAGAGTTGGCCTGAAAGCTAAAGCAGGAAATAGGCTCCATGACTAGGCGGGCCTCAGGGACCACGGTCAAGGGTTTAGAGTCTGCAACCCACTTCAGCCCCAGCAGACACATCTTTTATCTCACTAGGAGTCAGCCCTTCAGCTGGGCAATGCTAAGAACAGTTCTGCAGCCCAGGGGCTTCCATAAGGTTCAGGCAAGACCCTTACAATTAAGACTGTTACGAAGGTTTGTGTTCAGGTTTTTGCATTTGTGTACAAGTCTTCACTTCTGTTGAGTAAAAGCCCAGGTGCAATTACTGGGGGATTTAATAGCTGCATACTTCGATTTTTAAGAAACTGGGTCAGGGACGGTGGCTCACGCCTGTAATCCCAGCACTTTGGGAGGCTGAGGCGGCAGGCAGATCACGAGGTCCAGAGATCAAGACCATCCTGGCCAACATGGTGAAATCCCATCTCTGCTAAAAATACCAAAAAAATTAGCCAGGAATGGTGGTGCACACCTGTAGCCCCAGCTACTTGGGAGGCTGAGGCAGGAGAATTGCTTGAACCCAGGAGGCGGAGCTTGTAGTGAGCCAAGATAGTGCCACTGCACTCCAGCCTGGTGACAAAGCAAGATTCCATCTAAAAAGAATAAAAGAAAAGAAAGAAGGAAAGAAGAAAGAAAGAAAGGGAAGGAAGGAAGGAAGGAAGGAAGGAAGGAAGGAAGGAAGGAAGGAAGGAAGAGAAAGAAAGGAAGGAAGGAAGAAAAAAAGAAAAAAAGAAAGAAAGAAAGAAAAGAAAAGAAAGAAAGAAAGAAAAAGAAAGAAAGAAAGAAAGAAAGAAAGAAAGAAAGAAAGAAAGAAAGAAAGAAAGAAAGAAAGAAAGAAAGAAGGAAAGAAACTGCCACATTCTTTTCCAGAGTGGCGCCACCATTTTACATTTCCACCAGCAACACAGGAGGGATATGGTTTTCCAAACCCTCACCAGCATCTGGTGTTGCCACTGTGTTTATTTACCACTCTGGTCAGTATCTCATTATGCTTTTAATTTGGATTCCCTGATGGCAAATGATGTTTTCTGCCAGCTGTATATCCTCTTTGGTAAGATGTCTGCTCACGTCTTTGGCCCATATTTTCATTGGATTGCAAAGGTCCTGAGTTTTGAAAGTTTTTATATGTTCTAGATACAACTCCTTTGCCAAATATGTAGTTTGTAAATATTTTCTCCCAGTCTGTGGCTTAACTCTTTATCCTCTTCTCATGGGCTTTCACGGAGCAAGAGTTTTGCTTTCAATGAGATCTAATTTATCAATTTTTCCTTTTAAGTATCATGTTCATGGTGTCAAGTTGAAGAAGCCTTTGCTCAGTTTGAGGTCCCAAAGATGTTTTTCTGAAAGTTTTATGGTTTTATGCTTTACACTTTATGATGTATTTTGAGTTTTGTACAAGGTTTATTTAGATCAAGTTTCATTCCCCCCATTCCCCCCATGGAGGTCCAATTGTTCTTGCACCGTTTGTTGAAAAGCCTCTATTTCTTCCATCGAATCACTTTTACACCGTTGCCAAAATCTGCTGGGCATATCTGTGTGGGGCTATTTCAGCATTCTCTGGTCTGTTCTATTGATCTCTGTGTCTATCCTGCTGCCACTACCACACTACTTCGGTTCCTACAGCTCTATAGTAAACTTTCGTATCATGTAGAGTGATCCCTTCCATTTGCTTCTTACTGTTTTAGCTATTCCAGCGAGTGTGTCTTTCCTTGAAAATTCTAAAATAAGCTTATCTATGTTCGCCAAAAAGCCTACTGGGGTTTTGATAGGAATTGCGTTAACCCTATAAATCAATCTGGGGAGAAATGACATCTTTGCTACATTGTCTTCCAATCCATAAACATGGTATGCCTCTCCATTTGTTATTTAATTTCCTTTGTCAGAACATTGTCATTTCCAGCATATAGATCCTGTACATGTATGTGAAGTGTATACCTACATATTCAATTTTTGAGTGATTGTAAATGGCATTTGTGATTTTAATGTCAGTTTCTTCACATTCACTGATAGTATATAGAAATGTGGTTGGTTTTTGTGTGCTGATATTGTGTGCTATGATCTTGCTGAGCTCTCCTATTTCTGAAAGTTTTTTTGTTTTCATTTTGTTTCACAGACTCCTTGAGATTTTGTGCACAGGGCCATTTACAAAGAGCTAATTTTATTTCTTCCCTTTCCATCTGTATCATTTTTGTTTTTTGTTTTTCTTGCCTTATTCCAGTGACTAGAACATCTAGGACTATGAACATCCTTCCCTCATTCCCAGTCTTAGGGGCAAAGTATTCAGTCTTTCACTGTTAAGTATGACATTAGCCATAGTGTGTTTAGATGCTCTTTTTCAAGTCAAGGAAATTCCCCTGTATTACTGAATTGCTGAGAGTTTTAATCATGAATAGGTGTTAGATTTTGTCAAATATTTGTCCACATCAGTTTGATGTGATCAAATGACTTTTCTTCTTTAGCTTGTTGATAGATGGATTGTACTAATTATTTCATAATACTGATCCAGTCTTGTGCAGTTGAAATAAGCCCTACTTGGTCACGTATTTAATTATTTTTTATACATTGTTTATTAGATTTGCTAATTTTTTGTTGGGGAATTTTGCATCTAAGATCATGAGAGATAGTGGTCTGATGTTTTCTTTTTTGTGTCTTGCCTTTGGTTTTGTTATTAGCGTGATACTGGCCTCACAAAATAAGTTGAGAAATGTTCACTCCTCTTCCATTTTTCTGGAGGAGATTGTGTAAAATTCATGTTAAATCTTTAAAAACTGGGCCTATACATTTCTTTGGGGGAAGAGATTTTAAATTATGAATGCAATTTCTCTGATTGCTGTAGAGTTTTTCAGATTGTAAAGAACTGACATCTTTGTTGAGTATTGGTTGAGTGTTGATAGTTTGTGAGTTTTGAGGAATTAGTTCATTTTTTTCTAAGTTGTCAATTCATGAATGTAAAGCACTTCACCATTTTTTCTTATGATCCTTTAGACATCTGTGGGATCTGTAATGATGTCCTCTGTTTCATTCCTGACATTAGTTATTTGTGTCTTATCTGCTGTTTGTCAATTTTATTGATTTTTCCAAAGAACCAGTTGTCTCATTGATATTTTTTTCTGTGGTTTTTCTATTTTCGATTTCATTGATTTCTGCTCTTTTCTTTATTATTTCCTTCCTATTCTTTGCTTTGGGTTTATTTGGCTCTTTTTTTTTTTTTTCTACTCTCAAAACTTAGCTTAATGATTTGAGAGCCTTCCTTATTTCTGATGT